ATGTTTTTGGACTCAAAAAGTATGATTTGGGCTGGTTATCAGGATCTGCATGCTCAGATTCATTAGAAATGGGTAAAGGTAGATAGGCCACACCCAATATCCATACAGGAAAATAATAGCCTGAAACCTAGTGTGATGAAAAATATGTAGTGGCAGATCCTGTTCTTGATTACTCTGGTTGGCACGAAAGAGGAGTTTTTCCTTCTGGGCACATGGGAACTTAGAGTTTGGATCTTCTTTTGTTAGTGCTGATGCGATCCATTTGGGTTCATTGGAGTTTTCAGAGAACATTTGAGTGCCAGAGTACATGGTAGAGAATGAGAGCAGAGCTAGGACTTCATAGTTTAGTACATTGAAGTGCCATCTTGATTGAGGTTTTTCCATGTTGACTAGCTTAGGTAGGACCCAGTGAGAAGTGAACTGTGGATTTACTTTTCACCTCTTCCCCTCTGCCTAGAGTGCTTGTCTGAATAATGTAGGATAAATGGAAGTATGGCTAGAAATAGAGAAGTCATGCAAGCTAGAGAGGAAGGCCTGGGATCTTTTTGTATGTAGAGCAGGAGGACCATTTCTGATGCAATACAATTACAATTGTGAATCATTCAAGGGGGCCGCATCTGGGCAGGTCAGCTGTTGGGCCCTGGAGTGAGTCCAGAGCCAACATATCATTAAGTTGGCTGGCAACAGACTGTAACATTGGGTGAGTCTCCACTGGCTTTTAGTAAGCAGGGGTGACTCTCCAGGTCTTTTTCCATAGACTCGCCACCCAGGAGACAGCGCTGTGATGGTATGGGGCTCAATGTAGGCATTCCCTCGGGCATGTGGCTACGATGGACCCCCTTGAAATGGTTGTTGCAGGTGTAGCCAAACACTGTGTGTGTGTATGTTTTATATATATAAAGCATACACACACACACGTATACATATCTCTAGTATGTTGATGTCTTTTAAAATGTGAGCTATATACTTGTGATTTTTGATTTATTGTCACTGTGATTGAAAATGCTAAAGTATTCTGGTAATCTAATGGTGAACCTTACCACTGAGAAAGGAGTATTGTGTTCCTGGTGTTTGTTTTCTTTATTTTTAGTAAACATTAATGTTGGTTAGTTGACCTGAAACTTGTGTTTACTCTGTTGATCTTTTGGAACTGGATAGGTAGCCCTGGGGTTTCTTTGTTACTGCTAGGAAAGGGCTTATAAGTTTCCCTTTTGAAATACTGACATCTGCCTGTGGTGAATGCTTGTGGTGTTTTTCTGTCTCAGAGCTTGAAAGAAACTACTATTTCTGGGCGTGAAGTACATTTCCCAAGGTTAATTGTCCATCTCCCAGGAATCTGTGGCTTGAGCTGCAGGTCATGCATCCAGCTCAGGCTCACCTTGCAAGTGCTCCAGCTTGATATCAGGTCTGTGCATCAGAATAGTCAGGTGGAGTAGACTGCCTGGCACTGGGTCTGTGGTCTTGCCCTTTTGAAGGAGTTCTGTGATGAAGGAGAACAGCCATCAGTTTGACTGGTGGTGACCAGAGAAAGAAGGGCAGGATTCCTGTTCTCAGTGGCTGACAGATTCCTTACCAGCACGGGGAACATAGTTCCCCTAAAGGCTGGTAATGTGGAATGTTCCCATCAGAGCTGCTTAATGTGAAACCAGTCAAGAGATTTTCTTGAGCTGTCACCTGGGCAAGTACCTAGGTCTGATGAAGTAGAGAATCTCAGGATGGTAATATTGAGTCCTTTAATGGGATGTTTAGGATTGGAGGCTTGGGGAAGAGATACTGGTTTGTTGATGAGATTCTGTTGATATGGAAGCAATTTTTGAAAATGAGAAGAAGTAATTATCCACTCTACCTGCAGAAGGTAGAGGAAACCCTGTTGACACTTGGAGCACATTACACCAAGGCTCATTGGCTGTGACTGCTGCGTGGCAGATATCGTCTCATTTCTCAGTGCCTACATTTCCGTGGGATTTGCTGTCCCAGTCAGGGACACATGTTCTGCAGTTCTGTCTCTTGTGGCTGTGGGCAAATTCCAGGCTACTGATCCTTACCTGGATTACTCAGGCCACTTGTTAGCAAGGTTGGTTAGTGTCTGAAATGGTAGGAAAATAGTTACGTGCTCCATTTTACATATGCAAAAGCAATTAACCATCATTAGTGCCTGACATTCCTCCCAACTGCCCAGGGAGGTGAGTCAGTATCATCACTATTCATTAGGAATTAATTAGACTGTGCTTGATGATGTCAGTCATGGACAGAGCTGAGAATTCAGCACTGCCTGCCTCCCACTGTATAGCAGGCTGTAGGTTGAATTCGGTTCCTAGGGAATATGTACTCCAACTGGAGAAATGATACTACGATTCAGATTCTGTGAAACATATAACTTTGAACAATTAAAATTTAAGTCTCTGAACCTTCTAAAGGGAGGTTAATACCCAAAGTGATAGAGCACTGATAAAATAAGATCCTGTAGGCAGAAATTCCTGTCATTGTTAAGATCTGGTTCCCTGGAAGTGGGATTTGGATTTGAGGTACCAAGTCATGTTGGAATAAAGCATCCCCCACCCCCACCCCAGGCTTTTTGTTGGAAGGTAGCTTTTCAGAGAAAAATTAAGATCACAGTGACATTCAAGCCATCAAGTGTTTGGTGGAGTTGTGTAATGTAAATATCATTCCAACCACCTGACTCTCCTTTAAACCTTCCCACCATGCCTACTTCTGTGAAGGCCTGAGCTAATAGATATCTTGTTTCTTAGTGTTCATTCCATTTCCATTTCACATATCTTCTCTTTTCCACTCAACTCCTCAGAATTGCTTTATCATTTTCTCCTTTTTGGATTTCTTTCTAGGCCATTTTCTTGACTTCTGATCTTTATACCTTCACTGCTTTGCCTATTGCTTTCCTGTCACCTGGATCTTTTCTTCCTTGGTGGTCAAAAGAAAAGAGAAGTAGAAGAGATAAAATATTCTCCTTAAAACATGATTTGTTCATGACAGGAGAAGATTATCTCTTAAGAAGACCTAAGGGCTTATATGTCCCTCTGATTGAGTGATATATCAGAAGCTGGACCAGACAGCTGACTGAGGGCTAAGGATTTAGCTCAGTGGCCCCGTGCCTGCCTTGCAAGCACAAGGTCCTGAATTTGATCCCTGGTACCCCCCCAAAAAAAAACCCCACCAAAAAACAAAAACAACGATAGCTGACTTGACACATTTTCTACTCCATGCCTGGTTTAAATCTGTCTTGCATCTTCCTAATGTGATGATTTCCTTCCTTCTTGCTGTGCTTGGAATTGAACCTAGGACCTTGAGCATGTTAGACAGGTGCTCTACTAGGGAGCTATATCTCAGGTTTGCAGTGATTTCTTTTAGGCCTCTTAATAGTATTTATTTTGCTAGTCAGTATATGGGAAGAGAAAGTAGACAGAATGTTTCCCCTTCTCATAGGAAGTTGGGGGATAAACTCAGTTATAGTGTATCAAAGAAGATTCGTGTCATCTGGTTTTTGGTTCATTCTTTCATTCATTGAGTATTTGGGTGCCAGGTATTGTACTAGCATCAGGGATGTTGCAGTGAATGTAATGGCTTTACCTTCAGGACACTGGGGCACAGGTAAGAGTGTGTGAACACAGGTTAGTGAATGATTGAGTTGGCTTCATTCAGGATTAGTGATGCAGACTAAGGCTCATGGGGGCTGTACATGCCATGAGTTCCTGCATGACTCAGGTGGACAGAATCCTAACTCCCAGTTCTGGTGTTTCTGAGACTATTAAGGTACTGGTTAAAAGATGGAATTTTTTTTTTTTTTTTTTTTTGGTGTCCCTCATATTCAGTGACATTTCATTAATCATTATGGTCAGTTGAAACTAACCCTTTTACTTAAAATTCTTTAGATCACTTGGAACTGGGAGTGATGCTGCAGTGAGAGAGACTCATGAGAATAGGTGAAGGAAGCAGCAGATTCCCGCATCCCACCTCACCCCTTCTGCCTGTGCTCATCGAGTGCAGGTGGTATCAGAAGCCATGAATTTACTCTTCTCCCCCTTTATCTCCAGCCTCCCAGAATAGAATGTGTGGGCCTAAAGCACATATGATGTCATTCTCCTGGACTCTTATGACTGTTCCTGAATTGCCAGTGGGAATTGTGAAAGGATTGTCCATTTACGGAGTGTGTCTGCTTAGGCATTGAGCAGGATACTTGGATCACTGGTAATAGCTGCTTTTGGAGTTTATTGCAGTGTGGCCAGGAAGAACTTCAGGAAAGAAGTAGTTGTCAGAAAAGTGTTCATCAGAGAAACCGAGACTCATGGGACTGCATAATACACATGTATTTTGAGGCCTCTTTTCAGCAAACAAGACTTCCTACCTGCTTTCTTTTCTTGGAGGTATTCTATGGAAAGTCTACTCCACTGCACCACCCTGCCATTAAGAATGTGAAGACCTATGAAAAAGTTTGGTTTTAAATGCATCACACAATTTAAATTTTCCATGTAGTCATCTTAAAGACCTTTAGAAGATCTTTGTAAATTGGTTTCCCAAAGTGAACCATTAGGGGAAGCTCTGGCCTTTCTTCACCAACTTATTTATGCAGGTAGTTTGGCATCATGAGGCACAGATCCCCCTCTAGGGAAGATGAACTTGAAGCCAGTGCTTGTTCATTATTTTATAGATGGCAGAGTACCTTCACCATCTCACTGAATCTTTATGGCAGTTCTGTGGGGTAGGGTCTCTCCATACTTTAATGAGCTTTTTGTATTTTATAATTTAATTTCGTATCCATTTTACAAGTGAAAACTTGAGCTTCTGAGAGATTAACTAATGTAGTTTGGGGTGCATAGCTCCTGGGTCAGCTAGGTTTGGAACCCAGCTCAGTTTACATCTTAATACTACCCATCCCCAAGATTCCTCTAGCCAGCCCCTCAATATTGTACTGTTCTTCATTGACTGAACTGAAGGAAAGCAGACACCTCCACTCAGAGGATACATGGGAACAGGAGACATCAGCCCAGCTTTACAGATATTGTGTATGTAAGCCACTTGATTTGATATTTACTTTGGTATTAAATGGGTGCTTATTGCTATATATTCAAAAATCCAAGTAGATTGAAGGCTAATTAACCAGTGCCCATTTTGAGGATACTCAGTGTGTCTAGTATTTTCAGAGCCACCAGATCCAAGGACAGTTTCCAAAGTGAGTTGGCACTGAGGGACAGAATGCCATAATGGTTATTTCAGTATCTAGTATGGGAAGCATTTCTCAGCCAGAGCCAGTCTTGTGATTGGAAACTCTTTGCCCATACAGGGCCTCATCTTACTTACAATTGGGTTGTAAAACCATGGGCCTGAGTAACTCTGTGGATTATGTATCTGGTGGTTTCTGGACTATGTCCAGAGTAAGTAATTCTATCCTGATGAGCCAATCGCAGTTCTATCCAGTTGACCAAATCGCAAATGCCCTGGACAGAGTTCTTCCCTTTGCAATAAGTGAATCAAAACATGGGAGTGTTTAGAACAGTGTCTCTGAACTTACTGAATAGAGATGGGACAATCTGTGCTTGTGATCTTGCATTCCCCAAAGATCCAAAGGCAGTGACCCAAGCCTTGGAAGTAACTTGAGGGGTATCCACAAGACTCTGCTCCCCGGCTCTGCGACAGTCTGCCCTCGCTGAACAGTTCAGCTAGCAGAATGGCTTTCCTCATGTTGAGTCAGAGTCGTCTTGGGAGCACCTACAGATGGTCTTGCCCTTCCCTAGACAGACAGCTCTCTTCAGGGGCTGTTCAGTGTCTGAGGACACAGGGCTTAGCAGTTAGGATTAAGGAGGATCTTACCATCTGCGGGTCCTGCTTAGGGCAAAAAGCAATGAAATTTAACAGAAATAAATGTAAACTTGAAACCAATTGCTTAAGAACCAGGATGCAGGAAGAGCCCCAGAAAAGAAGGAATTTAAAGGCCTTGGGGATCTCAAGTCCAGCTTGAGGGCCATTGATTAAGATGGGTGGACAAGCTGAAATGCATTTGTGAGAGGGGGCAAAAGCACTGTGGTATCCACTCAGAAAGAACCAGAGCCTGGGGGCTGGCTATCCCTGGCATCCCTAAGGGAGTGTTTTGGGAGAGATTTGCTCCTCTAAGGGGTAGATACACCTCTAAGGGGTAAGTGAATTAGACAAAAAATGACTTCTGTCTCAATAGATGGAAGACTCTCAGCATGCCATTATGGAGGTGGCAGTCTTGAGGAGGTGGTGGGTGGTTCTATCATTGGTGGTGTTCCAGCACTCATGGGGACTGGCTCTTGAGAAATTTAGAGGGGAGTTTGAAGCATTGGATGGGGTTGTGAGTAAACACTGGCCTGGATACTCCCTGGCTTTCAGTTGTACAGAATTTTTTTTTTCTCTGGGTAAACAGAGGTCCAGATCCCTCTGCCACCTCTCACTGCTCTGGATTCCATCCCTCTGCTATAGTAGCAGAGCACTGGGAACATCTAATTTTTGTTTGTTTGTTTTTGGTTTTGGATTTTTGCAGACAGGGTCCCACTGTGTAGTTTAGGCTGGCCTTGAACTCACTATGTGGCCCATGTTGGCCTTGAACTTGGGGTGATTCTTATGCCTCAGCCTCTTGAGTGCTGGGATTACAGGCTTGGTTTACTATGCCTGGTTTAAGATCTTAAAATTGAGGTTCCCTGGAGTGGATTTATTCTGCTGTGAACACCCAGAGCTCCATACCTGGCCTGTTTTTTTTTTTTTTTTTTTTTTTTAATGTGTGTGTTGTTTTGCTTTTATTTTCCATTTTGTTTGGGAAGAAGGTGGGCTAATCTCTGCCAAAGAGTTCCTCTTAGTCTCCTAATTTCTCCAGTCAGCTGTTGTGCTCATACTCCAGGGTAGTGTGTAGTTCAGTTTGAACTTTGGAAAACTGTTAGATCCCAACACAAAATGTAATAGTTTGAGAATTCAAAAGCCCCACATTGTAGGCACTGCAGAGTTCATCAGGGTGGGGTGGGGCATTCACAAAACACTTTCTTGTGGAATAATTTAGATCTTAGCATTTGGCAATTTTAAAAGTCCTGTGTAAGTGTACTTGTGTTGGTAAAAAGCAGTACATATTTTGTTAACAGGTTTTTTGAAGGATACTTCAGTGGCAGCATTTAAAGGCAGACAACCTGAAACTTTTTCTTTTCTTTTAAAAGCGGGTGCTACCAAATCCAAAAAGCTATCAGAAGGAGAAGCCAAACACACCCATTAGTTAGACCATTAATTGTGTAATATTCCTCTGAATTTCTCCACCTGTGCTCTGTTGAGATCCACAGTGGGGAGGACAGGAGAGTGAGATTCAGTTGGGGAGAGAAGGAAAGGAGACAGGCTGCTTGCTTTAGTCCACCGCCACCTACTTTCTTCCTGGGTGCCTCTGTTGTAATGTTGCACAGACTTGAGTAGGAGCAGTGGTCACACAAAGCCCTTCCTCTTCAGGCCCTGTGGCTCCCCTTTTCCACCCATCCCCAGGAACAGTTCTTCCCTCTCTTTTTGGGAGGACTTTGAATTAATGACCTAGTGGCTTTTCAACAAAGGAATATTGATATGAGAGTGTTCAGGACAGCAGGGAGTGTGAGATTAGATCACTTTCACACTGGTGTGATGCCAGTATGACATTTGTTTAGAAAGCTTATCCATTTCCAACCACAGTTCACATGCATAATTTAAGGGGAATGCATTTTTTGAGAAAGGTTTTTTTGATTCTGTAATCCAGAGTAAAGGACCCCCTTCCACGTTTTCATGTGATCGGGAATTCAGAGTAGGCCACTTGACGAAGTGAAGGGCACCATGTAGACAGAGAACATTTCCACAAGTTCACCAGGCCCTTGTGGTGGGTGTTGTAGGAAAGATGGGACTGGGGACAACTTGGCTCTTGCCTCAGTGTTACAGTTTAGGAGAAGAGTGGCAGAGTGACCTGATGTACGGGCTAAGAGTCCTGCAGCTCAACGCAAATGTCCAGGTCAGATGGCATTGCCAACTCAGTAGGATGAATAACTGTGATAACAAATAGTCTTCTTCCTCCTTCCTGGCTCCTGCCACCATTTTGCATGTTGTTGATCTCATATTGAGACGCTTTGACATTTCAGTTGTGATGCCAGTTGCTATGATAAAGCTGACATCTTTTATTTTACTTGAGTTTCATATAAACAGCTTGTTCCACTGTGGAAATTTGACTGTCACTGAGCAGATTGCCCTGGTAGATAGTAAGCACTTAATGGTTTTCCCGTGAGTCCCTCCAAACTTGCAACTCTGGGGAATTGAGTGCTCTTCTTGGGTAAAAATTTCCTCTCATCTGTGAAGATTATCCGGCCTCTGCCTGCCATCGCAGTTCTCTGTGAGTCGTTAACGTGATACATACAGAAGACAGCCACTGGGATCTCAAAATTCCATACTCTTCCCTAGGAGTTATTCTTCAAGCAAGGTGGTGACTGAAGAACATGCAGTAAAATTAGCAAAAACTGTATGTTTGTGGTTACCATGACCTATACTATTTAGTGATTGTGTTGTTTTGTGATTTCTCTTTTAGGCTTATTTTCTTGAAAAGGCTCCAGGCTTCGGCTTGGAAAATCCAACCGCCAAAATTGAGCCCAGCAGCTGGAGCGGCAGCGAGAGCCCTGCCGAAAACATGGAAAGGATGAGTGACTCTGCAGATAAGCCTATTGACAATGACGCGGAAGGGGTCTGGAGCCCCGACATTGAGCAGAGCTTTCAGGAGGCCCTGGCTATCTATCCACCATGTGGGAGGAGGAAAATCATCTTATCAGACGAAGGCAAAATGTATGGTAAGTGGCCTGGAACGCTGTTTTGAAACACCACAACCCACTGCGTGGCAGGGGATAGATTAAGCTGGCCTTCTAGTGAGATCTTTTCATTGTATTGGATTGAATGATCCTTGTAGAATTATAGTTGCTCATCTGAAAAACCAAGGCTTGGCTAAAGAGGAGCATGAATGAAGGGCCTCAGGGGAGTTGTTCCCTGGGTGGTTTTTCCTCTGCATGTGCAGTGCTGTTACATCAGAAGCTCTGGAGTTCCATTTAGGAGGACAGGTAGTCACAGTGGAGTATGCAGAAACCATATGGTGCGGACGAGTTCTTCAGTACAGAGGTTCAGTCTAAAGGGGGCACTATAAATTTGCCATGGGGGAACGAGGCCCTGCTAATGCAAACTCTGATTTTCTTCCCCCTAGAAAGAGCCTATAATCTAACCTAGATGTGTCTATAAAATCTACTCTTTTAAAAAAGTCAGCACTTATTTTTTAAACAACTCTGTACAGGCCAGGTACAACATGCTCATGGTCTCAATAAGAGCCCTGAACCTCCTGTTTGTAGCTTTGCTGCCAGTATGCAGTTGAATGGCCATAGAGGCATTACCCACCCAGACTCCCCTGAGCAGTCCTCCCTTCTACAGTATGTTCTGAAGGAAACCCCAAGTGTGTGCAGAGGGCAAGACCAGTGAACCAGATGGGTTAGCGTGCTGGAGGCAGCAGCAAGGACCCAGCCACAAATCAGAGGCTTGCTTGCTGAGTTTGGGCACCCTTCCCCCACTTTCTGTAAGTGCTCCCAGCTGCAGACCTGCACTTTTTGGCTGCTTACCTTTTGGGAAGCAGATGGCAGGTGGTTACTTTTGTACATTCTGCTTGTCTAATTGGGCACATTGAGTTGACAGAGTTTGCACTATAGCTGGATCTAAAGAGATGCAAACAAATAACCTCAACTCAAAGAGAACCGGCTCCACAACCTACCTGAGGTTGTTAACTTATCACAAGAGTGATTTATTCCTAAATAATTTGAACTCTTTTCCATAATAGGGTGTTGTGCCTTTAATCCTGCGCTTCCTCTATCAGGAGCCATAGGAGGCTACAGCTCAAAGTAGCACACACTGTGGAGAGGAAAGCAGATGGTAGTGCAGCTGCCACCAGCTGTGCCCCCCGCCCTCCCCTCCCCCACAACTTGGATGATGTAATGGAAACAAGGACAATTTTGCTTTCTGTATCACTGGAGTCTCTCAGCCAGCCATGCACAGGGGAGATGGAGGACCCAAACCTTCGGCATTTGTTTTAGGCTCGCATAACATGTTTTGTAGTCCAAGAAGCTTTTTCACATAGTGAAATGGAGTCAGAATGGAATACTCAGCTGCTGTGGGAGAAAGTTTCAAGGCCTGGAGTGTTTGTGTTTCCCTCCTGGGCTCTGATTCTGTAGCATGGCTCTTTGCTCACAGAGGCTTATCCTCATCCCTAAAGACGCAGCTTCCCTCTTTCTAAGGCAGAGAAAAGTGCTTTGACCTTTGAACCTCCTGTGACAGTGACTATATCGAGTAGTGAACATTGGCTTTAGGACAGACAGCACATTGTACAACTGCCACTTGTTTACCCAGTGATTTTTCTGGTGTAAAATAATGGCACTGAATTGAGAGTCTTGCTGGGAGGAACACTGCATTTCACTTTGCCTCAGGAGAGGCGCTTTCCTCTCTGGTGTGAGTTTGGGCGCTGAAAATACAATTCAGAGCAAAAGCTAGTTTTCGACTTCCAGTTTTATTTCATTCTCCATTAAGATTTTACTTTTTAAGTAGCAGCCATGGTAGGTTTAACCAGTTGTCTCTAACACAATTATAAAAATGTTTTTATGTGAAGATAATTGTGGAAGTGGTCTTGTTGGTAATTGTATCTCAGAGGCAGCAGGCTAGGAAGGTGAATGGTGAGAAGCTTTGGATTTGAGTTATTCTGTCAATGAATTAGAACAGTTTTTACCCTGGGTCTTGGTGTCTCTCTTTTCCCTTTGTTAAAAAAAAAAAAAAAAAAAAAA